ATTGTAAGTAATTGCAGCAGGTTCAGTTGTGAACTGCCTGAGAAGGATTTATGACTTTCATTTTCTGTAACTATCATTTACTATCAAATAGGAATATGATACAAGTTGAATTTCAGTCTGTTCCATATCCAGTTTTCCCGGGAGGAGCAATTATTGGATGTTCAGCTGGCTTTTTAAATGTACCAAAGATTAAGGGAACACACACTGCAATGAAGTCAGGTACTTCTCAAATTTCTCTGTTTTGTAATTCATCTAACGCTTTAAGAATAGCAGTTCATTCTATATCACTTCTGAGGAAGCTATCTTTTCTGTTTTTATTGAACTCATTTCTTTCTTTAGCCAAGTTCAAGACATCTCCATGACCGCAACTCTTGTTTCCTTCTGAATATTAGCTCCTCTCTTTTCTTCTTCAGTTTCAGTCTTAAAAACATCCTAATTAAGTAAAATAAACAATCAAAGACTGATATCTTACGCCTTCTAGTGTTCTCAAGTGTAGCTCAAACTGGTTGCTTGCCTTACGCCTTCTGGATTGTAATTAAGACAAGCAAACTTTTACGTTTTCTGGTCCGAGTTCCCGGCAACATTATTTTGACTAATATAACATTTTCTACTAAATAAACTGAGGCTTTGTTTGTGAGAACGTGTTGATAAATGTTTCAGTTTAGTTCTTTTAAAAGTAATATCACTCTCTTTGTTCTGGTTTTGCCATTGTAAAGTCAGGTGATAGATAATACTGATGTCTTGAGGGCAAAAAAAATTATATTAAAAGTATCTGTTCATATTTTCTCTTCATGATTGCTGATAGTATAGCCGAACTTTTTCGGAAGAAGTATTTTAGACGTCCAGATTCTCTGTTTATCGTCTTTTATTTTTTATTTTTTATTTTTTATTTTTTTCATGTTTACCATAATTAGACCAAGATTCCTGTGGCAAACTTCCCATAGAAGTTGCTGTGTAATCTTCTTTTCTTATCCGATATCCATAGTGCTGGACTTTATGCATCTCATGTGTTCTTTCTACATCGTACTTACACTTACTAAACTCTGTTTCCTTTTAAGTTCAATGGTGTAGTATCTTCTGGGACAAGTATCCATTTTCCCCCACCCCCTTGATGAATTGTTTTCAATGAATACAGTAATATCTGTACAATACTACATAATTCAATGTCTTTGGAAATACTTGCTTTTGGCACTCTTCATGTATATAATGTTCAAGTGCCTACTTCCTAACAGGAATGCTGGCAGCTGAGGCTGCATTTGACACTCTTCATGGAGGCTTGAAAATGGATGTGTACTGGGATAGTTTGCGAGGTTCCTGGATATGGGAAGAACTATATCGAGCTCGGAACTATCGACCTGTAGGCAGCTGTTCTTCTCCTCCCATTTTTTTTATAGATGGAGAGTAAAAAATTTTCGCTAAAATGTGTTGTAATTTTGTTGTTGCAGGCATTCGAGCATGGTCTTATCCCGGGCTTGACCCTAAGTGCCCTGGAGCAGTACGTATTCGTCCTCACCTTCAGCTGTTTACTAGCACTTAATATTGTTATTTATGTGTGTGAAGACTATTCAGATCTCTTATGTTCTTTCAGTTCAGTGACAATTTTAACACAATTTTTTTTTCTGCCTGCAGCTATGTGCTTAAAGGAAGGTCCCCTCTCACACTAAAGCATGGGAAACCTGACCACGAAGCTACAGATGTGAGTATTTCTTATTTCAAAATCTTGCATCTTATTTGTTGGATTAAGAAACATAATAATAAAGCTACAGTTTCCAAGTAATAATAAAGATCAAAATTCTATTTTATTTTGAATCTCTGATCTTTGTTGTCATTTATGAAGGTTGCAAGTTTACATACTCCGATCGAATATCCAAAGCAGGATAGTCTTCTGTCATTCGATGTGCCGACCTCGCTACACAGGTAAATTCCTTTTTGTAGTTTCAGCTAAACAGGCAATTATCCACTTCTCACTGATTGTATCTTGTGTGTGGTATAATCCCTAAACTGGTCTGAATAAAATGAAGTGGTGCTTGATAAGTTCTTTCTTTTATTTGTACGGATTTACAAGAGTTCAATGCTATACTCCTGGGATGCATTCTCTTCCTCCAAAGACTAAAGTAAAATAAGAAAAACACAGAAGAGGAAAAGTAAGAACTGGAAACTATACTTAGTAGGGAGGACACATCACTATGCTAAGGTAAATGTTAGCTTTAGTTATTTGTAAGTTCTGAAGAACTGACCGTATTCGGTGGATTGTTATGCCTTTATGGTTTGATTGTTGGGAAGGGGGAGCCTACGCTGATGATTATTAGGGACTGGTAGGCTCTTATGGTTTATGTAACAGGTCATGACTACCTTTAGCAAATATTGTTCTTTTTGGGCTCTTTTCCTTTTAGGCTTTCCTTCAAGGTTTTTAAGACGCGTCTGCTAGAGAGAGGTTTTCACACCCTTATAAAAAATGTTTTGTTCCCCTCTCTAACCGATGTGAGATCTCACAATCCACTCTCCTTCAAGGCCCAGCGTCCTCGCTGATACTCATTCCTCTCTCCAATCGATGTGAGATCTCATAATCCACCCCCCTTAAGGCCCCAGCGTCTTCGCTGGCACACCGCCCGGTGTCCACCCTCCGTCGAGGCTCAGTGTCCTCGCTGGCACACTGCTTGGTGTCTAGCTCTGATACTATTTATAACAACCCAAGTCCACCGCCAGTAGATATTGTCCTCTTTGGGCTTCTCCTTAAGATTTTTAAAACGCGTATGCTAAGGAGAGGTTTCCACACCCTTACAAAGAATGTTTTGGTCTCCTCTCCGACCAATGTGAGATCTCAAAGTTTAATTGTTTGGTAGGAGGAGCCTACACCCTGTCGATGATTATTAGGGACTTGTAGGCTCTTATGGTTTAATAATTGGGAAGGGGAACCCTCCAACCCCTAAGCTGTCTTCGGTTTTTTTGGAATACAATTCCCTATTTGATGTTTCTTTAAAAAAGAAAAGAAAAGAAAAAGAACTGACATGAGGTATATGACATGAGGTAAAGTTGAATGTTAATATTGCTGCTATCAGTTTGACTACGAGAGGCACTAAGTTTCCTTTGCAATGATACTTAATTGATGACCTGATCACTTGTTTTCATGGTGAGAAAGCGTGGCATTTTTCTCTTTTTCTGATATTTTATCTGGTCTTCCAGCCATTGATGAATGATTGAAAATGTGTATATGAATCATATAGGAGCAACACAAACCATGAACATGATCAGCCAGCCCACCTTCGCTTAAGGGACCCTAAGATTCCCGTGGAAGTAAATTTGAAAGAATACGCTGCACCCGAGTCAAGATATTGTCCCGCACGTGTATACGAGTAATACATATAAACGCCAATGCTCGTATCGTATACTTGAAAACTTTCATCTGATCATTGCTAATTGTGTGTATGCTTTGAGTGGTATCATAGGTACATACCTGATGAAAACAACCAGATGAAGTTGCAGATTAATGCTCAAAACTGTCTTCATTGCAAGGTAATGTCCACTGCATTTGACCTTTCATTTGAACTACTTGTTACAGTTTCTGGTGTTGAGTTCCTGCCTGCATTTTCCCTTTGGCTCATGCTGGCAGGAAGAATGTAGTATGGTTGTTGTGTCTTTGTTGAATCCATGATACTTTTTGTTTCAGGCTTGTGATATTAAGGATCCGAAACAGAACATCGAGTGGAGTGTCCCGGAGGGCGGTGGCGGTCCTGGCTACTCAGTCATGTAAAATATATAGAATGGTGTGGGGATTGTTCGAGAATAAATGAACTTCTGTTCCAAAACTTTTGCTCAAATCGAAGAACTTTCATCTTTACTAATAAACCAAATGATTCACTCACTTTTGAACTCAGCTTGTATTTTGAGTTCTTTTTATACTATTTGAAAACTAAAAAAAATCTTTTAGGTTAGTGTGAAAAACTTCCTACATGTTTAAATCTGTTAATAAATTTAATAATACATTGACTTTGTATAACAAATTTTAATAAATGTTTGTACCAAATGTCTTAATTGAGATAAGATTAATTCAAATGATTTGAGGAAAAATGGAAAACTATTAAAGCCCTATTATTGAGATATGTTCCATGTAATTTATTTCAATAAGTAAAAAATTAATTCTTTAAAAACATATTCAAATAATATTACACACAAAAAAAAAAAAAAAAAAAAAAAAA